ATTTCTGACATTGATGAGGAAGGGATCAATATTATTGGGCATGATAAGACAATCCACCTATATAAACCTCATTGGGGAGGTCTTGTCTATGGAAGTTAATCTTGGCAATATTGACATGGGACTTAAGCCGACCTCTGGGAGGAATAGTGCAACACTGTACTGCCACTGCATCATATTCAGCAAGGCAAGTAGGTCATTTTCATAGCCTGAACAGTCTTTGTTGTAGACAGGACAAGCATTTAGGGCAGTAAAAACAGTTCCAGTACTAGTATTAAGAGCGGGGTGAGGGTTTGCCAGTAAGGTCAGTTAGGGTAGATAGTGCACGAGCTTGGGATTCAGATGTAACTGTGACAAGGCGTGAATGATAAGAGTGACTGCAAAAGGTAACCTTGCCTACTTGTTTATGGAGGCACTGCTGAAAGATAAGGGTATTCTCAGAATAGGGGGCTGTGGGGGGAATCACAAAGAATCAATCCCATATGGCTGGGCTAAAGAGAGTACTCAGAAGGTTTGCAGAGGCAGAGGCTGTAGAAGGACGAGGGCGAGGAAGATGGGTGGTGTGGAGTGGTAGTGGTAGTGGTGGTGGTGGGGGAAGTTTCTGGAAGTAGAGTAATAACCTGGGTGGGTGTTTTGGAATGGTGAGTGTTGTTTGTAAGCATCGAAGAGGGGATATAAGTATCAGTGGTCGGAGCCGTGGTCAAATGGGGGTCTGAAAACCATCAAAATCAAATTCAGATAGGCTAGTTGATGAAGGGGCAAGCCTTAATGCTTGTCCCTTTACCCTTACTAAGGGTAAAGAATCTTCATTATTAGCCATGGTGAGCCTAAATAAAATGGGGAAAAGAAACTGTTTACCCCTCAGAGTCCCCATAAGGGGTAAGGGCTAGGCAATTAACCAAGGGTATACCATGCCCATGGCTCCCGGAAGCCGTTCATGAATGACACAAAGCCAGCTTTTCATCCACTAAGCACAGCTCTCACACCTTAGGAATCGGATAGAAGAAGGGAATAAAGAAGATACGGAAGAGGAAAGAAGAGAAGACCAAGCAAAATTAGTTGAGGTGAGGGCTAGGCCCAAGGTAGGGGTGATCCCCTACATTAGGTCTCAGTCCTCGTCTCCTAAGCCCTCCATGACGACAATGAGCAAGGTATTAGGAGGGAAGTAAAAAACACGCTATTCTGAAAAGTGAGTAGAGTTCAGCTGAAACTGTAGACAGTAGCTCCACCTTTCAAACACTATATAAATATAAGTGAAACCTCTCCTATCAGGAATTATGAACCATCATATTCCTTTTTTCCTCTTTTTGCAAGTCAAATATTCTGTAGTTTTAACCCAATACTGATGTTGTGCATCTATTCTTGCCACAGCTAGTCGAGCCTAAATGCCAGCTGGTAAGGATTCGTGCTGTATACAGTCAGCCAGCTCCAAGTTGTGTATCCCAAACAGTTGTTTGCTTGTTTAGCTTGTAGCTCCTGAACCAGGGTTCAGGAGCTACAGCTACTTCAGCAGCTGACTGTGTGCAAACCCCAACTACCCCATGCCCTCCTCTCCACCCTCTATTGAACTGAATTCAAAGTCAAGGTAACATTTATCAAAAGTGTTTTTTCATTTTATATTATTTTTTGTATAATGCCAAATACATACTGACCACATGATAAACTGTGTGATTTAAAATGTATTTCCTATAATAGTATATGTACAGGGATATACTTTAAAAAAGACTTTAATGTTCCTATGAATATAAACATTCCATATATAAAACGGTATGGATTTTGTCTCTTGGCTTATCTAAGATTACACAAATACTATTGAAATATACTGACTAACACTTAAAAGTAAAATGTAAATAAACACTAAAAACAATAAAATATTAGATATAAGACTAAAGGAGACATTCATGAATATCACACAAACACTTCCATAGCACTTTTTATCACACAAGTGAAGGACAGACTTGGATGACAGAGTGAGAAGACAGGAGGGAACAGAAGGCATCTAGGGAGGGGGTAAATAGAAGCTCAGTTGTCAAGGCCAACTGTTCTTCTTTATACATATCAATACAGGACTGTTTATGGCCCAAACATTATTTAATTGTCAATCATACAAAACAAAATCCAAATGATGTCCTGGTATGGTCATGGTAGGGGGAATGAGGTCAGAATCAAGTTTCTTGTACTGAAATGTGCATCTCCAATAATGCCCAAACCATGTACCTACACTCTATTGCTCCCTTACCTCCCGTAAGGTTACACCTTATTGATTCCAGTAAATAATGAATTAATTTAATTCTACTTTTCTTCCCCTTTTTTATATTTATCTTTCTTTTTGCTGTGATTCTCTTTTCCGAATCTTTATTCCCATGCCACCAGGAAAATGTAATATTCCTTTTGTTTTCTTTAGCAAAATGTCTCTACACATAGACTGCTCCACAAAAACTCAGCCAACAAGGAGTCAATTAACAGACCAAGTGAACTGACCTAATTTCCCCTTTCCATGACTTTTTTAGGAAAAAAATTTTGTTTTATCAATGCTTTCAATATCAATGCTGTTATTTTTATTATTGACATTATAATTATCATAATGTCATTAACATTACTAATACCACGAGATATAGAGAAGTAATCATAATATGGAATAGAAGCTTGTCATACCTTGTGGAGTATGTGACATCTGTAGGTTCCTGCCTCTGGCTCACCATCATGCACAATATTGCCACTAAATCATAAATGGGTTCTGGGTGTTTTTGCTTTACCTGAAAGCATAAAAATAATATACAAATAAATTATTCTGTTTATCAGTGAAACACAAAATAGTTTTACATCATATTAGTTATGCTGTTCTCAAGAAAGTTTATTTATTTTGTAATTTGACCCACAGGTGCAGGGTAAATAAACTGTCCACTGTGGTTTGGTTTGATTAATTCTGTTAACACACACAAACATTTACCAAAGAGTCACTTAACCCCTACGATCCAGATGATGTTATAGTCCCGTCATGGAAAATTTGGGTTGAGGGCCGGGTTACATGAACAAGCCATCATCAGGCAAAATGGCCGTTGATCAGGTGACGGGAATTTGCCATCATGAGCGAAGGCCAGGGTGATGGAAAACTCACCACAGGTGCACAAATTCCTTGGAGTGTGATTTGACTCATTGGGCGCTTAGAAGGGGCTTTAGCATATTCCCATCAATAAATGAATGCAGATTGTAACGTGCATAAACCATGACTGGAAGAGCGCCAGCACTAGAAAGGACTCCATTTCTATGCTGCACCATGTTTTACTGACCACTATTACATCTGGATAAAGCCAGCAAAAGACAGCTATGGACATTGAAGAATGGCAAAAAGGCTATAAAAGTTTACATAAAATAACTTTACAAGGGGAAACACAGTCTTGTAACCACTGGGTGTTTGTGCGCACCTGGACTACACACTGCACACCCGGGATGTTCGCTACTTATTTAACCAACTGCCGTATTTTGGGCACCGTGATTTTTGTGACAGAACCAGATCCAATGGGTTAATAGGCCTACGTGATCTTACTGTTTAACATTACTACAATAATGATAGCTATAACTATACATATATTTTAGATATATATATTTATTCTTTCTTTTCTTTTCTTTTCTTTAAAAAAATTCAAGGAATGGAATAGGTGAAGTCAAGTAGAACTAGTTCTTGACTTCTTGGTATCAAATAGTTTCTAAAACAATCTATGTGCAAAAAAAGTTAATCAAACAAAATCACAGCACCAACATGTTAAACATACTAGTTGAAAACTGAAATTCTAGGTTAAAAAATAATTTCTTCATCAGAGCTGGTTTTGGCAAAAACCAGCTACAACAATAACACGTATAATGAATCTGCATATACGAATATTGAGAACCTAAATGCAAAATTCATTTTGTTTTATATCTATCTTGTCATCTTTGGAACTGACAAAGTAACTGAGATTGTCAGACAACTATGAGTTTACTTAATAAAATCTGTTAAAATTTATATGAGTATTACTGACTATTCATTTTACAAACTTTCTTTTTATGCATTTAATACATAATGTCTGAGTTCCTTAGACTACAGAACTTACACACTAAGAGACATTAGAAATGTAAGATTTTCAACATTAACAGAGTGCATTATTTGCAGGCCATATATTTTCCCTCCCCAAACCTACCTTGTGTAAGTAACCATTAGGAAATGTGAGAAAATGGATATGCACTACAATAAAATTGAAAAGACAAGAATTTATTCTGAGAATTCGTTTAATTTTACCCTTAAACATAATTTTTTTAGAAATATTTGCCAATACCACACACAATCATCATTTTATATCATAATTTTGGGTATATTACTATTGCTTTTCTAATGGTATAATCAGATTTTAGTGTTACACAAGGATTTCCCATTAAGTTTGTTCATTTTCCATGACATTTAATTTTTAAGTGAAATAAGTAAATGTTAAAAATTTCACTCTACTCTTCTACAATGTTAAGTTTGCTTAAACCTTTATCCTTAAGCTACATACTAATATATTCTTGTGAATAATCACTGAGAACATAAATCAGTTTGAAAAGATTAATATTTGCATGCAATGCAGATCGTAGCAATAAGTCCTAAATGGAAATGAGAATGATATAAAACATTAGCAGTAATTACTGTAAAGAAAGGATTGATATATGTCATGAACTAATGTACAGTGCAATACAATTAGCAAAATAGAGGAAAATAACATTTTTGATAATATAAAAATTATGGATTATATATTTTAAAAATCAGATTTTATCTTACCTCCTCTGTCAAATACTCTGTCAAATCAATATTCTTCACTGGGAAATTGACAATTGTAGGATTCTTCTCAATGTAAAAAGTGTTCTTTGTAAAACGCTGAAAATGAAAATGGATACATTAGTCGTTTCTTCTAGAACTATACAGCATTCTGTGTATATGCAAATAATTTAAGATCTTGAAGATATCTAATTTATCAAGTATGAATGAATGAATAATAAGAATTAATAAATGCCATTCTCTCCCTAAAAACATAATTAATATCCTAAACTGAATGACAAAATCCATTTCTGTAACAATGTAAGCAATGAGTAAAGCTGCAGTTTCATAAACTTTTAAATTAAAAATTTGACTCAGATCTGGATTATCAGCCTTTTGACCAGACCTTGATGCAGTTTAGGAAAGTTGAGAAGCCAGATCTTGCACATCCTTTGCCCAAACTTAAGGGCTATAAAAACCTATAATTTATGACTGAATAATAAATCTGGATGACATCCCACAGGCTGGCAACAATTGTGAACATGTAGTTTGTTCACAGTAGTTTATCTAGTAAAGCAGTTCATTATCCTATAGTTCAGCTAATGATAATGACACGGGTTCTTCATGATCCAGCTGTCAGTTCATATCTCTATCCAAACTTTCCCCACTTACTGATTCAAAACTTTGAATATGTCAAGGAAATAATTTGCTAATCCTTGGCCAGTACGTATGCATCATTAATCTACACTCTCTTCCAAAATCCATCTACCTAAAGGTGAGAAAAAATTCACAACTCAGTGAGTGCTCAACAGGTATGGGCACAGTTCCTAATAAGAGGGTACATATATCAATAAAAAGCTAATATCATCATAATAACAATATATAAAGATACTCATATTAGTGAGAATATGTATATACGGTATATACAGGCATATAGTTTTTTTTTTCTTACTTTTTTATCAAATCCTTTTTATCCTGAAACATTAAATATATAATGAAACACTAATTTCAGCATAAGAGTAAACGACATGCACTCTCAGAGAGTTACCAATCTTTAAAAGGCCATTTAAAATTTTATTTTTGGTTACAAAATATACCGGCATTAACACATTTTGAAGCCAACCGGATACCATAGCTTAGGGGAGTGTAAATTTTGTAATATGCCCAGTATGGGAGGCAGGATAGCCCTAAGTAACACAGGGACTATGGCTGAGTCTGTGTAATGAAATCACAGTTTGAAGGTTCTCACCTTATTGTACAGGATGAGGTATGGGGGCAAGCCAGTCAGCTGGAATTTCTTCAAGATGTTTTCTTTGTAGGTCTGATATTCCTTTCCAGTTTTGCCATCAAACTTACTCAGGAGGACATACAAGCTCACCTGAAAAAATATTTGGAGTTAGCACACATCATCACAAATATTTGACTTTTGTTTGTAATTAAGCTTCATCTTGAGATCCTACCCAGCTGAAACTTTATTTCTATATCTTAACTTCAGCAGTTGCCTTTAGGTCATGTGGTAATGTGATACTGTTTTAAGAAATATATAGAAAAAATACCTAGGTTGTTAATCAAATAATACCTGCTTTTTTCAACTAATCAAAAGTGATGAAAGAAAACTAAAAACTGTTCAAAATCAATTAATGTGTTAGTGGAAATGACACCTAAAAGATATATGATAAAACACTTTTTGAAATAGTATCATCAAATAAAAAGATTAAATAACAGTACTGATCCAAACCAAAAATTTTAACTATGCATATTACATGTAACAATGAGCTGACTGAAAAAATATCAGTTCCAATTCTAAAGAAAAGGCTATTTGGATTTCAACAATATATATTTCTATATGTACCTGTGGTATGATATTCTCCTTCTTTTCATCTTTAAATAATGGAGGCTGAGGCAAATCACATGTAAGGTAAAGGAAAGGGCTTTCCTCCATCTTTTCCTGGTACTCCTCACACTTCAAGAGCCGGTTTTCTTTTTCTCATCTATCTCAACAGGAAGGATCTACCAAATAAAATTAGCAATGATGAATACATTATATGCATAACAAAAGAAAACTAAAGCCTCTTTAGGTTCTTTCCATCTCTTTTAATCCCTGGACCTGGATGACGTTGCGATCGCATCAAGGAAAAACTTGGGCACCTACCCAGGTGACGTGATGATGCCATCAACCGGGCAAAAGAACCACAACCCGGGTGACACCAACAAAGCTTCAAGAGTGAACGCAGGGTGACAGAATAGACTCGCCATGAGTGCACAAACCTCTTAGGGGAGTGATTTGACTCATTTGGCACTTAGAAAGGGGCTTTAGCATTATCCTCATCGATAAACAAATGTGGAATGTAACATGCATAAGCAGTGACTGGAAGAGTGCTGGCTCCAGGGAGGACGCCATATCCATGCTGCGCACGGTATTCCTGGCTGCTGTGACTGGCAGCACAGGCTGTATTACATAAAATTGAATATTACAAAAAAAAATTAAATATATGATATAAATAACCAAATGTTCCATTTTTTTTTTTCTTGCACTGAGCTATTTACTACATAGAGAGATGATATGGAGTTGGTGCAAGGAAAATAAGTAATTACCATCTGGATAAAGCAAATCTAAAGACAAATATGGACATTGGAAAATGATGATAAAGCTATAAAAGTTTGCACAAAATAATTTTTCAAAGGGGAGGCATTCATGCGTGCCCGGCCCACCCGCCGTACGCCTGTAACCCATTGCCCGGGGTTTTCAGCTCCATAATTTCCGTCATGCAACTGGATCCAAGGGATTAATAGAGAAACTCAGTTGATTTGTCCATTCATTATAGGTGAGACTTGAAGAAAGAATAAAATATATCTACCATAAGCAAAAAAAAACAATTTTAAGGAGAAAACTTTTGATGTACAAATTATCAAAATCCAGAATTTTATCATACAAATTTCCAGTATTGAATATTTTGATAAAAAGGATTATCCTTAAAAATTTGAAACTTTACACCAATAATTATTTTACAAAATACATATGTCAATACTACTTGTAGACCTAAATTGTTACCTTCTGTGAGTAGATGTTCATGGTCCCTCTAAAACAGCGGTAAATGATTGTGCTTTTACGTTTTGGTGTTTTCAGACCAAGGTGCATGGAGTTCAATATCCAGGATAGAATCTGAATAGCATCACCTTGTACTGTGAACTGGAACTTCTTTCTACTGCATGATACTACTGCCTGAAAGAGTGGATCTTTTGTTCAGAAGTTTAAGAGTGAAAACTGACACAGTGAGTGGGGGGAAGTAATGAGAAATAATAACTCGATAGAGAAATTCTTGTTAGAGAGAATAAAGACCAAACTGACTGTGAATAATTTTACAGTTCTACTATCAAGAACAGCAAAAAATAATCATAGTCTTAATCCACTAGCATCGGTACATTTTCAAGCCAAAAATAATGGTTTCTGGGCAACAAAATCAGAGCGCAAGCTCCGATCTAGCGTCGCACCTGTGGGATGCCCGGTAATGTTTATTTTTCCAGGTGTCTCATATGTGGGACACCCGTCCCAAGTGGATTAAAACTTAAACTCAACAAAATAATTGTCACATGCAAAGTTTGCTTGAATACCTGTGCACAATCATGAAACCTTTTGAAGTTGACAAGATTAATCTTTTTTCTTCTATTTTTTTCTTTGCTATGACTACATTCTCTAAAAGGAAGAAGAAATATTGTCATTACTCCATTGTAACTGAGGGCCAACTTTACAATTAGAGAAAAGAAAACATTCCCATTATCACTCTATAACAATAGACAAGATAATTTTTGTTTGTAAATTAGTTGAAAATGTCTTTTTATGGGTTCTTACACAAGACCATAACAACCCTTCTACCTAAAAAATGAAAATCATGGTCTAAATCATGTAACCCTTTTGCATCTAATGTGCAGAAGATATGCAACTTACTTGTAACATTTCATGAGGAGAAACATGAGCCTTGAAATTCCTTGGGTTCCATAACTTCCTAACCAATTCACCAAATCTTGTAATGAGAGGAAACATTGCCAGTCCTTAGTACCTGGTGCATGGTGAATGTGGCTGTAGTTATTGGGATCTAGGAAGTAGTTTCTTAGAGGTGTGATATTTGACAAAGCCTGCAAAATACGAAAAAATATATTACAAAGTAGAACAAGGTATCAGCTCCAAACAATTTCCATCAGAAATTGCACACAATCTAAAGGTTTGGATGAAATAGGTCCTAGCAACAGATGTAACATCACTTGTTATAAACATTATGGTTTACATTGTCAGCAATTTCCTACTTATTTGAACCAATACCCAAGTACTATGCAATCATTAAACCTTCACAAGCTATTCAAATTTAGTTTCAAAGATAACTAAAATATAGTATGTATTGTCAATTGTGTATCAAATTTTACATAGTTCAAGGAAAGAAAACATGTTTATTATAAAACTGGTGGGCACACATTACAATACAACAACTCTGGAATTTTTTGACAGCTATATACTTGTTCACAAATGCCGGTAAACAGGCAAGTATGCATGTGTGTACATACACACTTACACATAGACATATGGGAATAGAGGATTTTGAGCACTTCCTTACCTGTAATACTACATTACAATAATCATTAGCCTTGATATTGTTCAAGCCCACAATGCCAGGAAGATAAAGAGTACCATCATATGCTCTGCTCATCTTACTCTGGTTTACTTTCTTTGCAATGTATTCCTTTGTGAAGGTTGGATTCACAACATATATAATGTCATTAAGAGATGAATCTGAAATTAGGATTAAATTATTATCTCAATGCAAGTTCATAGTAGTTACTTAACAGATATATTGTGTTGTGAAGCACTTTACAGTTTCTGCATTAAGGTACTATGTACAAAATAAAAAATTAAATATTTAGTATGGTATAAAATTGAAAATCACCACAACAGGTGTAGTTCAAAGATCAATTTGATCAAAAATGAAATTTCAGAATAATGACTCTAAAACAATGTTTTTTCAATGAGAACAGAATTGAATAATGACAATAAATATAACTTTTGATTCTGTTGGTAACAGCTGAAGGTATAGTACTTGCCAATAATCTCATAGTTGTCGGGTAAGCAGTAAAATCGTAGAGTCTGCAAATTGAGGTACACATGATGACCATCTGACACACTGTGGGTATATGCGTGTGTATTGGGTCCACGTCCTATTGTTAAAAAGTAAAATAAAATCATTTATGTAAATTCATAAAAATATCTACATCAAGATGATGATGATGATGAATGATGATGATGGTGGTGGATGATGGTGGTGGTTTATGGTGGTGGTGGTTTATGGTGGTGGTGGTTTGTGGTGGTGGTTTGTGGTGGTGGTGGTTTGTGGTGGTGGTGGTTTGTGGTGGTGGTGGTGGTTTGTGGTGGTGGTGGTTTGTGGTGGTGGTGGTTTGTGGTGGTGGTGGTTTGTGGTGGTGGTGGTTTGTGGTGGTGGTGGTTTGTGGTGGTGGTGTTTGTGGTGTGTGGTTTGTGGTGGTGGTGGTTTGTGGTGGTGGTGGGTTTGTGGTGGTGGTGGTTTGTGGTGGTGGTGGTTTGTGGTGGTGGTGGTTTGTGGTGGTGGTTTGTGGTGGTGGTGGTTTGTGGTGGTGGTGGTTTGTGGTGGTGGTGGTTTGTGGTGGTGGTGGTTTGTGGTGGTGGTGGTTTGTGGTGGTGGTGGTTTGTGGTGGTGGTGGTTTGTGGTGGTGGTGGTTTGTGGTGGTGGTGGTTTGTGGTGGTGGTGGTTTGTGGTGGTGGTGGTTTGTGTGGTGGTGGTTTGTGTGGTGGTGGTTGTGGTGGTGGTGGTTTGTGGTGGTGGTGGTTTGTGGTCATATTGTCAGAGACTCAAAAACAAGTATTCTATAGTCCTATATAAGAAACAAATAGACATGTCATAGGTCACCTAGTACGTCATGGGCATGGTAGTTAGTAATTATGTTAATCCTTATATAATATTGGATTATATATTTTTTATGAGTCATAATCATACCTTAGTTATCTATTTTGCTATTACTGATACTTCTATATATTGTCATTGACATATATAGATATTATCTTTATAATAGGGCATTATCAAGCATGAAATTTAAGGGACTTTGAGAGGTTAGTAAAACTTCCTCCTTCAGCTTAAAATGCATACATAAGACCAAGTGAGAAACCAGTCACTTTAGTTCACTCAGTAAGAAACTCATGGATCTGTACCAGTGTAAATAGTAACTACAGCATTATCATACTATCAAAGTAGTGAAAAATAAGTGTTTCATTATCCATTCCATCACATATTTATTTCAGGTGCACTTGAAATATTCTTGAATGAGAATAAATACTTTACTCTTATTCATGCTATTTGATCAATATATACAAATAAAATTACCTATTCATTTTCTTTCTTTTATAATTACTTTTTTATTAATAAGGTTCTGTTCTCACTTCAATGAAACTGATAAAAAAAAAATAAAAATAAAATAAAATCTCTTTTCTTTACACACAGATGGTCCCATGAAAGTTTAGTCACCACAGAGACAATCAGTCTACTGAGCATACCAAACCTCAGCTGTTTGCCTCTTCCTGAATCTAGATATTTTTTAAAATCTTAATTACTATTACTACTTTGAAAACCATATTGACACATTGCAAATAGGTGATGTCAAGAGAATATTGCCAAAAGAAAGATGACAGCTCCTCATGTCCACATCCCTATTGTCACAAAATCACTTGATCTCACATCGGACAACTGCCCAGACACAGGACAATGTACACTGATGTATGTCTGTCTTCACTTGTAGTTAATGAGTTAATAATATTGGGATTAAAACATTGATAATAATTATTCTGTAACAATAGTAATGCAACTAATTGCAATGATGATAACACTAGTAATGATAATAACAAATAAATAAAGAAAAACTTTTTCATGAAAATGCAAGGAATGGGATAAAAGGCATAGTAGGCCTTGTAGTTGACTCCTTGATGATTATGCACTTTAGAAATTCTCTATGTATAAACAATATTATATCCTATGTCACTGGATTGCAATCTTTTTCCTTACCTTGAAAGTATTTCCCACAAACCAGACAGGCATACACATTGATTCTTGAGAGTGACACACTGCACAATTTCTCAAAGTCAAAATCTAACATATGACGATTAATGGTGTCCAAGTAAGGGCACTGGCGTGACTTCTTTGCTGCAAAATGAAATTTAAATATTAGAAAAAAATGGGTCACTTTTCTGTGTAGCTACTTATTTTACATTCCTCTATTCTTCTTCTTCCATTTTTTGCTTTTCTTAGGTTTCAGATCTTATGTGGACAACCTATTTTCCTCATTTCTGACTTTAATCTTTTCCTGAACAGATATCATAATGCATTAGTATGTATTTTTTCATTTCTGTAATGTAGGCTATACCAGAGTAATGTGTTGCACAACTTTCTTATTATCAACTTGTGAAGATAATATTACAGATGAAAAGTGCCATACTTACAGTCATTATATCCATTACAGGCAAGTGTGAAACTGAAACTATACCAAGAAAATGTAGGTCCATAGGTGATAAGTACATTTCCACTGATTTTAGCAAAATCTGGTGTCTCTTTTTGTAGATGGAAAATATTCAGAACACCTTTGCATAACTGATCATGACAATAGTAGTAGTATTGGATTCCTTTCACCCTCTACTATCCATATATATATTGGGGGAATACCCTTA